TAATTCTCAAGTACTTTACATATTTTTGCTGACTTAAAAGTTTCATTTTAAACGAATTTTTCGTTTTGGCTTGCTGCCATCATTGGATGCAGTTGTTGACAAATTTGTTGTGGTTGTTGTTGTTGCTAAAGTTACGCTTTTCACATTATTTGCGCCCACTGTGCTGGATGCCGTTTCGATGGATCCTGCATTCGATCCCGTTGAGCTATTCTTCAAAATTTTCTTATTCAGCATTAATGGCTCCCCGAATGGTCGAGCGATTTTTGTGTGCATATCTGTAACTAATTAAGAATATTTTTTTTTGGCAATCATTCACAACTGCTAAACAGTTTAGATTTGTTTTTTTGTTTATAAAATGTTAGATTGCATATATTTTTGTATTTTCCCTTTATTTTTTTTAATAAACGTAGATACAGTTTTCATTTTATTTGCGCATTTGTTAGTTGGCCTCCAGCTTGGCTGATTAGTTCGCATCTGTGTTAGTTTTAATCAACTCCAAATCAATCAAAATCATTGCACGGTTAATTTATCTTGCTTGATTGGTTATTTTCTGCATTTAGCAAACTTGGAAAATTTCATGCAGATTTGTTATAAACAAAACAAAAGTATTATTCAAATTTCATTTCATTTCAGAAAATGTATACATAATGCATACTTACATACATATATATGTGTATAAACATGTATGCATATACCTTGTGATCAAAAAATAACAAGAATTTTAATTTTTTGAATTCCTGTGATTAAAATTTTCGGTAAATTCGGTAAATTTTTTTTATTTTGACGCTGGCAACACTATGATACACATTCTGTAGCCAAAGAAAAACTAATCGTACGATATGCGTTAAACTTTGACAGTATGTGTATAATAGTGTTGCCAGCGTGAAAATAAAAAACATTTACCGATTGGATAAGCGCGGGAATTTAAAAATAGGCCACTCGTTTTTTTTTGATCAGAAGGTATGTAGGTATTTATTAATATATATATATATATATATATATATAATTTCTTTCGTTCTTTTATATATATTTATATATATTATGTGTTATGTTGCTTATTATGTATAAGGGATGTGTTTAAGCAACAATAAAATATTAGAAAATTTTGAAAAGCATTATATTTTTAAACCCAATTAGTTTTTCAGCTTTTTTTGGAAATAATTTTTTATGAAAAAAGCAGATCCATCACTGCAAAGCACTTAGTAACTTAGTGATATTAACCCTCTAATGCCACATTTTTTATTTGAGTTGAAAAAATCAGGTTACATTAATTTGAGGTCAAAAAAGCCGAATCCAAAGTCCTTTTTTCATTCTGATGTCTCGTTGTCTTGTAAATCGTAAAAAAGTCAAGCCCGCCTCAAGGTGGTCCTGGGCATTCAGGCGTATAAAAATACAAATAAAGGATGCTGACTTTTGTGAGTAAAACAAATGGAAATTTCTGTTTTTTGGTTGCAGTCTTTATTAGTAATGATAAAATAATAATAATAATAATAAATAATATAATAATAATAAAAATTAAAACTTATGAAAATTATAAAAACATTTCTTTGTTGTGGAATCACACAAATTTAATTTGCATTTTGTGCAAAAATCTTGCCTTTGTGAGTTGCAACCAGCCATTTTACAAGTTTTTTCGCCCGATCTATCAAGAAATTCAGACCAATGACCTGTTTCATCGTAACGAACATTGGCTGGGGGAATATATGCCCTCTTTGGTTTAGGTCGTAGTGTATTCAAAGGTGGTCGATTACGTTTTTGAGTATCAGATGGACCAACGTTACAGAGGGTTTCTGCAATTACAGTACGAAAATCAGAAAGTTGGTACTTTGAATTTTCATGCAAACGATGATAAAGAATATATGCATTTACCATCGTCATATCTAATAGATGAAAAAAAATGCTGTTAGACCACTTTCTCGTTTTCATACGAATACGGTAACGACTAATCAAACCATCCATCAAATCTACTTCTCCCATGTGTTTGTTGTACTCATGTATTATGGCAGGGCAATTTATTTCTCGTGTTAATGCCCAGGCCCGCCTTTAGACGGTTTAAGGAATATACGAATTTAAGCACATTATAAATACGGAATCAAAACAATATTCTTTCTAGTTGAAAGAAAATACTTCCATCTACTTACCTGTATTTTTTTTTTTTAATCAAACTATTTTAAATTGTAAGTTTTTTATATAAAAAAATCATGTTTCTTCAAAAATAATTATTTTGCTCTAAATGAAGTGAATTTTCAATTCACACAGTTATAAACATAAATTGAAACAGAATACTTAAACACGTTATAAACTTTAATAAAATATAACACTTTATCTAACTCCTGATATCAAAAAAATATTAAAAATATAACCAAATAAGCATTTGATAGCCGTTTTTATAAAGCCCGCCTTGAGGCGGTGCTGGGCATTAGAGGGTTAAATTAAATGAATTTTCAATTACATATAAAATTAATATAATGCTTACTTTAAAAATAATTACTTAAAATGTAAGATGTCTCATATATGTATATGCTAAAATAAGTTTATATATAATACATATCAGTGACAGACTTTCGATAAAATTTTATTACCCCTCGAAAGGATCTACACGCTTCGAGAATAAAATCAAACTGTGTGTATAAATTAATATATATCTATATTTGAAAATGCAAGGTATAGAATCGGTACAAAAGGTTTCCAGCATTTATTATTTTTTTAAAAAAAGAAAATTAAACAGAAAACTTTTGGCAGAATAGAACTCAAAGAATGTGAACGACCAAGCAATGCACTCCTCTGGTATTCCTTATGCGATTAGCTTTTGTAACTTTATTTTGAATTTTTGAGTCGTTTTTTATAGTCTTGATAAAACTTGATAAATTTTTCAAATATTGACAAATAATCAAGATTTTTACTATCCAAAAAGCTTTTGGCTATTCCTTGCAAATATTGATCAAAGACACTCAAAGCTTAAGTGCCTATGGTTTTTCACTACACTGTGAAAATATGTCAACCATGATAAATTGTCAATCTTGATAAATAAGCAATACTGTGAATTTATCAAGTATACAGAAGAGGGGGTGATTAATACATTTTTAAAATAATAGCTGTCAGAGCAGGATATTGGCATTAAATTGATATTGGAAAGGTTTAAGGTATGACTGCTTTGTCTATACATGCTATAGATTTAATTCTATTTATACATTTAAATAGATAGAATTATTCAAATCAAATTATAACTTCATTTCTTAAGTGCTTTTTTCTAAATCCGACGAAGGCGTGCTATAAAGGTAAACAATATTAAATTAAAAATTATATTATTTAATACTTTTAAATAAAGAGTCGACAAAAATTACACAATATTCTCATATTGTAAGCCTATATTATTTGAAGAAATTTATGATCACTTGATTCAATCAAATATATAAGTAATGTAAAAAATTGAGTCATACCTTGTAGGAAACGTTTTTAGGAAACTATTAATTTGAATAAGAGAGCAAAAGATATTTCAAAAATGAATACATATCTCTCGATAGCTGTTACAAATGTAAATGATTTTACTAAGTCCTGTACACTTTGTATATATTTATTATTTATAGCTTTTACTGATTTATTTTTAATCGGATTTTATAAACATAAATCTTATAAAACGTCAATTTTATTAGAATTGTTGGAAAATAAAAATATTTAAACACGACTCTTCTTAAAATAACTTTATATTTTCATAATCTCAGTCTATGTTAATTTTTTGAATTTTTACATTTTATGAATTCAGTAAAAGCTGACATAGATTTATTTTCAAACTTTCTGACCATTTTCACACAAAAGTTGTCAGTTTAACATTGTAGAAAAAAAGAGTCTCAAAAGTATCTTAAAATGCACATTAACAATTCATAAATCTTCTTGAGGCAAAACTATGAAGATTTTGTTTCTACCAAAGTTTAAAAGTCGAAATATACTTAAAAAGTTCAGATAAGAATTCATTAATGTA